TTAAATCTCTCCATTACTTCATGGGGCCTTTGAGATTAATCTGACAAGTATGTGTTGAGTTTTTTGGGAATAAAGAGGCAAAGAGGCAGGAAAATCACAAAGGAAACTCACTTAAGTTGTAACAGATGACTAAAGAGATGTGAGAGGAACTAAAAGTGTTTCATTTTTCATGTAGTACTTTTTTAGGATCCATTTGCTATTTTCTAAACATTACCAAATGCTATTAGTCATTTATTTATTTTCAATTCAGGCTAATGTAAAGGGGCTTTAATTTTTCTTGAAAATCATGTAAAAATTCTGAACGTTGTAAAAGTAAATAAAAATTTAATATTGATCCCTAACATGTAGCTCATTTAACTCGCATGGCATTGTTTATTACATGACTCAGCCAAAATGAGAAAATTCACAAGGTGTGTGCATTTTGGGGGGCCCCTGGAACTACTCAAGTACCAGAGCAGGTGATAGAAAGGTAAAGTATAGGAGAAAGTCAACTCATCTACCCATAAACATTTTCTTTGTTCTTTCCCAGTTCATTCCAAGAATGTTTGCTTAATAAAACACCTCCCACTTTCATGCTTAGTACCATTTTCAGCTCTAAGGTGATTCTGATAGTGATGAAAAAGACAGCCTCTTGTCTCAGCTGTAGTTATTGGTATAGTATTAAATTACTTACTGGGAAAATGGATATGTTAGTCAAAGGGCAGTAATTTGTATTCACTGTTGTTTTCCAAGTATCCTGCCCTGCTAGTCAAGCCAAGCATAGGAACCTCTGAAATTAGCCCCATGTTTCAGAACTTCCCCAAGTCATACCCCTCCTTTGCTTTCCAGGAGATCCAATCTTTTGTGCTGTGCATCTGTCCAGCTCCCTTATCCCAAGAACTAAACCTACCGTTTTCAACCTGGCTGCTTAGCACTGGGTTGCCTAGCACTTCACTGGTCAATCTTCCAGGTTCTTTCTCCCATTACAGACATGTGTTTACTAAACTGATCTCCAAGCTCACAGCTGCCTGCCTGGCTGGCTGCTTGCCTGGATTTCTCAGCATTGCTCAGCCCAGTATCTGTCACTGTGCTCTTTCTTGAAGCTCTATTATTAGCTGAATTATGACTGAGGCCACATCTTACTATCTGTTCATCCAGGTATAACTTCCTCTGTTTATTTTGTCCTAGAAGGCAGGTCAGGCCTAGTTATAGATCCTTTCCCCTCTCCACTGCCCCAATGTAGTTTTGGACAGAATGTAACTCAGAGTTGGCTCAATAAAAAAGATAGGAATGTTTATGGTGATAGCTCATAGGAAGAAATTTGGACAAGCAGTTAAGTTACAAATAAGATAAATGTGTGTTCCCCCACGAAAGAAGGTAAAACACAGCAGTAGGATTTTCACAACTTAGTGCAATTTGGGTGCCCGAGAAGACACGTAGATAATTCACGTAAAAAAAAAGTGCTGTCGAGAGGTTATGGATATCCCGAATTCTCTGATGTTCCATATGCAAATCCTGATCCTTAGAAGATTGACCAGTCAAGTCAGGACCTCAGTCTTAGAGAAACTGGGTCCAAGAAATCTTATTGAGACAGGAAGATAAGAACAAGATAGTGCTCTAGTTTCCAAACTAGATTGTGAAATGGAGATCAGGTCATAGTTAAACTTCAGATATTAAGATATTAGAACTGGAACTTGAGAATTGGAGAGGCAGTGAGTTGAATTGATAGTGATTCATCTGAATATCAACTAGAGCAGCTTAAATTGTCTCAGGTCACGTCATTATTGAGCCCTAGTTCACGGAAAGGGGAGTCATATATCTAGAGGTTTTTGGCTGTTAATTTAGCTCATGATTTCTCTACTAAGCATATTCAGTATAAACTATGACCAGTACATTTTATGACTAGTAAAATGTTGTAGGAATAATTTTATGAGCTTGCCCTTTTTCTGCATCGTTTATAAATAATTATTGAACGTGTTTTTTACTCTCATATAAACTTGAAATGAAAAGGTCATCTAAGCAGTGTCTCTAAAGTTGTGTGGGAGGCCTATGTGGGAGAAACCAAAATTGTTTTCTCCGCCTTCCATTTTATCATTGGCTTAAGATATGGTTAAAATAAACATGGTCTATTGAGATATGATATTCCATAATGTATGCCTCTGTTTATGTGTGTGTCTCTGTGCGTCTGCACAGTATGGGTTACATCTACGGTTATGGATAAAAAGAAGTAAAAGCGGTTCTGCTAACTTATAATAGTGCCTTATTATCCACAAAGAAGGATTTGAGACTAAGGAATCAGCTTCATGTCTCTTTTTAATATATAGTTTGGTCTCAGTAGTGTAAGTTTTCTAACAAAGTACATACAGAAGCAATTACTGTAATTTATTGCCATTTAGGAATAGCTCTGATTAATTTAATCTCAATATTTATTGCAATTCTGTTGTTTCAACTTTGTGATAAAGGTGAAAGGTGTGCAAAAATGAAAACACACATTTTCTGCCCTAGAACAACCTCCAATCTAGCAAGAGACAGGACATAAAAAATTAACCCTGATCACAATGTGGAAAGTGCCAGCAAATTATATACCAAAAAAGAAATACATAGGAAGCTGTATAGGCATCAAGCAAATGCGCATGCGCGCGCACACACACCCCTCAGAGGATGTCCACAACTAAAAGACAAACCGTCCAATTAAAAAATGGTCAAAGAACTTTAATAGACAGTTCTCCAAAGAATATACCAATGACCAATATGCATATAAAAAGATGCTCAATATTATTAGTCATTAGCAAATGACTAATCAGATGTAAATCAAATCATTTCACATCCACTAGGACGGCTATAACGAAAAAATGGTTAGAAAATAACAAGTGTTAGTAAGTATATGGAGAGACTGAAACCCTTATACCTTACTGGTGGGAATGTAAAATGGTACAGCTGTTGTGAAAATCAATTTAGCAGTTCCTCAAAACATTAAACATAAAGTTACTGTATGACCTGGCAATTTTACTCACAGGTATATAGCCAAGAGAACTGAAATATATGTTTATACAAAAACTTGTACACTTGAATGTTCATAGCAACATTCTTAACATCCAAAACCTGGAAAGAAGTCAAATATACATCAGCTGATAAACAGATTTTTAAAATGTAGTATATTCATTATAATGGAATATTGTTCAGCCATAAAAAGGAGTGAAGTACTGATACATGTTATAACATGGAAAAACCTGGAAAACACTAAACTAAGTGAAAGAAGTCAGACACAAAGGAAACATATTATATGATTCCATTTACATGAAATGTCCAGAATAGGCAAATCCATAGACACAGAAAATAGATTAAGGATAGCCAGAGGTTAGAGGAGAGAAAATACAGGAAGTAACTGTTTAATGGGTATAAGATTTCTTTACAAGGTGATGAAAATATTATGGGATTAATTAGTAGTAATGATTGCACAACATCATGAATATGCTAAAAATTACTGAATTGTACACTTTGAAATTGTTAATGTAGTCAATTTTATGTGACATGAATTTTATCTCACTTAAAAGTACTGTTTCACAGGCTGGGCACTGTGACTTACGTCTGTAATCCCAGTTCTTTGGGAGGCAGAGGCAGGCAGATCACCTGAGATCAGGAGTTCGATACCAACCTGGCAAACATGGTGAAACCCTGTCTCTACTAAAATTATAAAAATTAGCCAGACATGGTGGTGGGCCCCTGTAATCCCAGCTACTTAGGAGGCTGAGGCAGGAGAATCTGTTGAACCCAGGAAGCAGAGGTTGCAGTGAGCCAAGACCATGTCATTGCACTCCAGTCTGGGCGACAAGAGCGAAACTCTATCTAAATATAGAGTTTCACACACATACACAAACCCACAGAATTTACCATATAAAGAAAGGAAATGATACATTCCAAGTAAAAGTATAATTCACAAAATATAGGCATTATGTATTCAATGGGCATGTATGAGAGAGTTTTCTAGCAGGATGTTTCAAAAACTAATTTGTGAATTAGTTTTCTGGAACTGGGAAATATTTTGTGGTAGTCCACATATCACTGACTCTTAGCGAAGGTCAACAAGAATTAGATGCAAATGGTAGCAAACAGTTTTCCATGCTCTGTTCCATAAAAGAAAATGGGAAAATCTACGTATTTCCTACATTTTAATTTTAAGGGTTTTTTTCATTATTATTCAAACTTGATTAAATATTCAGATGACTCATCCATATTTCTTAGCTGTTATTTCCTTCTAACTTAAAAGTACATTGTAATTCTGAGATTTCTCAATCAAAAATTATATTTCAATATGTATAATGAGCAATATTTTAGTAGACTGAATGAATATATCTATATCATATTAATGTATTTAACTTTAATTGTAATAATATTTATGATAATTCTTTTATGACATTATTTTATTAACTTAAAATTTCTTGTCACCAACTAATAAGATGAAAGGTTTAAAAATAATAGTACTTTTGAAGAAAATAATTTATAATTCTTTTGGTAATATGTCTAAGCTTTGTTTCTTCATTAAATGGAGTAATCTTTATACATAACAAAACTAAAATGTTATTCACAATGCATATATAAGGTAAAATACATGACATAACTAAGTTAAAGCTTACTTACTAAAGCTTTAATTTAATTATTAAAGTAAGCTTTAATTTAGTTGTGTTATGTGTGTAGAGAAAATTCTCCTTAAAAATATCTACAAGATACTAAATCTGTGGCTTCCCTCTAAATGGACTCACCATTGAGGCTTAGCTACACATTTTATTTTTCTTATCCAGCAGTATTGTTTTTATTTAATGCAGTGACCTTTTTGTTTCTTTGTAATTTCTTTTCCAATCATACAGCCTTTTAAAAATGGCAATAGACATTTTATATGTTGGTTTTTAAATTTAGTTTCTGCTGATACTTGTTTACATTTTAAGTGGTCTCTGTTCCTGGACTGGGCTATACAATCACAATATGTGCATATAAACAATTTTTGTGTTTTCTGTTTTTTATAGATTCTACAAAGAAATTAAAGGATGTTCTTGAAGAATTCCATGGTAATGGTGTACTTGCAAAGTATAATCCTGAAGGGGTAAAACTTCTTTTTCTTTATATCAGTTTCATATACATGCTTGGAAGAGGATATTTCTTAATGAAAAATTCTTGGAAAAATGTGTGTGTGTGTGTGTGTGTGTGTGTGTACACATATACATTATATATGTATGATACAGATATGTGTGTGTGTGTATATATATGCACACCATAAACCATTTACCATGTACCATAACATAAACAAAATTAAGTTCATAATGCAATGCTATTCTAGAAGATATATTAAATGTTGTACAACATTTTTCATTCAAATAACTCATCTATATTGTATGCTTGAAAGAATATGAATCATTTAAGTGTAGTGTTTGTTATTTTCCTAGAAGTCAGGAAACAGCATTGGATAAAAGAGAGAAGGAATATGCTTGGCTCTCAGTCTATGACCCACAAATTTCAATCCAAAATGAATATTGGTGTAGGGGTAGGGAGTTACCCCTTTCAGGCAATTATTTCCTTGACCAAGGAAGGATTTTGTGTTGCTTATACCAGGTCTGTAACCTTAAGGAGCCAACTTGTACAAAAAGAGAGGGATTTTTTTTAATCTTCTATTTTACCTTTTACCAGTAAGCTTAAGATTTCTTGAAATCATTTTCTTATGAAAACTTTGCATGTCTTGTCAATTGTTTTTGAACACCATGCTTGAATGAATGCCTTTTCCTTCCTAATTGTTTGTTAAGTAACCTATTTAATATTAGTTGAGAGATGTTACATTTTAAATGTTTGATCACCATTACTGTTAGTTCATTTGTAGGTTCAGAAGGCAACATTAGGTTGCTTCAAGCTTCTCTTTGCAAAAGATTCTTTTGTCGGGATGTATTAACTAGATAGATTTGTTTGCTGACTAAAATGTGACTTATTTTTTGCGATTATTGTTTCATTTTTGTATGTTTGCAAGAACAGACTTCTTAGTTATCTTTCAATATTGTACTTCCCTGGGATTTATAGAACTTAATTTTAGTTATCATAACCCTCAAGCTATTCATATTGTTTTGAGATTTCCTATCAGTATTTCTCATAGTTAGCTATTTTTCATGTCATATATCCTTATTCTGTCTACATTCTGGTACATTACTGTGACTTTTAAAACTCTTTAGGTTGGAATTTATTTTCTTAAAAAATAAAATTAATATTGGTGCCCATAAATGATGGAGAAAATAAAGGCTATTTAAAGCCATTACCATTTTTCTGTATTGGAAAAAAAATAGATGTTTGACCTACATTTCCCTCATATTGTATTTTTCTAGATGGCATAGAGAAGGGGGAAAATAAAGTTAGCAGCTAAACTTACAAAACCGAGAATTTCAAAGCCTAAGAAAGCAGAGTGGGAAAAGTAAAGATGAATTATAGCACTGAATTGCTACAAGAAAAAAAAATTGTCATTAATATTTATATTCACCACAATACTTGAAAACTTATTTGCGTATCTAATCTGTATACAGGGATAAAACCTGTTTTTCTCCCTAATGATAGCTGCTGGCTACAAACTCAGTTAAGTGATCTTGTTTGCAAAGCAGCCTTTTTGCTTTAATTTTTTTTTTTTTTTAATTTATAGGGCTCTCAAGACTTAGTCTTACTGTTATTATATATTTCATGAGAATTACCATTCACCATATACTACATTTATTTATTAAGGTAGTTATTAGACACATTATTAGACACACATATCACCCTTTTCAACCATGTTATACCTTTCATAAATGTACAGATGTATTGTTGAAACATGTTATTAAAATAATGAACAGTTGAAAAACAAAAAGATCTCATTACAACTCAAGAACAATTCTAAATTAAGAGCAAAACCACTCTCTTATCTTAATTAATTCTGATAACATTTTTCCTTCAGAAGAAAATTTTAAGGTTTATATAACCATTTTAAAAACTAGTATGTATCTTCTAAAAGTCAATTGAAAATAATTAGGACTATCTAATGATGAGAAATAAATCTTTATGACCTTAAAGTTCTCTTCAATACATGACCTCATCCAATTTATAAAAAATTACTCTTACAATATGACAGAATTCCTAATGTCAGTTCACATGTGAAGTTATCACTCTCCATTGGCTTGTCAAGTTGACCCAAAGTTGTTTGCACTGATGACTAGTTAATGATGCTCAATTATACAAGAAAAAATGGACAATTGAGTAATCCAGCCTGAATTTGGAATGATAATTAATTCATTGTTTTCCAAAAGGAACATAGCTTGTATCATTTACATAAAATGTATTGGCAAAAATTAAATTGCTTAACCTCCTACAACATAAAGCTATTTAAATGGTAGATGTACTATTTTGCTTATAATTCCCTTGAATTACTGAATTTTTAAAGTGCTGGGGATAAAAATTTAACCCAAAGAAGATGTGACCTGTTGAAGTCTATTTTAATAGAGAAAAAATATTAAGTATAATTTGTGAATGAATCATTTACTTTTAAATCCTATTAAAGATCATTTGATAATCGTTACTTGAAGAAATGAATAATAGAAATCTAAACAATGGCCTTAAAGATTCTGTAGGAATAAAAACCTTTCAAAGGCCTTGAGATTCCCAAATTAATAAAATTATAAAGTTTTTAAATAAATAAACTATTCTAAGAAAAGTGAAATAATTTGTCCAAGACTCACCAGCTAGCTCACAACAGTAACCACAACAAAAACCTAATTGACTAGAATCCCAGTTTAAGGCTAATGTCCTGTGCTCTTCACTTCGTTGACCAAGCCATAGGGGAGAGGACTGTCCTCTTAGATAGGAAGGAAAAAGGTTAGGGGAAGGCATGGGAAGATATTTCTTTTGTAGTGAGTGTGGCACTTCCCAGTACACATACATGTTAATGACTCATGCCTGACAAGGGGAGAGAGTCTTATTAGTCTCCACCTACTCTTGTGTAAATAATATAATGTTAAGAACATTATTACAAGCTAGTTTGTAGCAGAGATCCAGTCTTAGTGAGATTATTCACAGTAAAACATGGTCAGGCCATATAAAGAGTCTCCTGAGAGCAGTAGAATTTGGTAGTACGAGGGGAAGACAGTTTAGCATTCCATGTGTTTTTTTTTTTTTCTTTTGGTCTTGGACTTCAAGTTCAATTTCAAATTTTTCCACTCACAGCTGAGATATGGGAAGAAAGTGGCAGATGTATATAGAAATATATTTTAATCCTTAAGGGTACAGAGAGATGCTAGGTGTGATGCTGATAGAAGGAAACCTTAGGAATGGGAAATACATATTCAAAATCTAACATATCTTTATATACATGGTTATATTTCTATTAATCCTCTGAAATATTTTAATCATACTATATGTGTTACACATTATATTTATCTGTCAGAACAGTTTGCTTATTATATACAAAGATTGATCTAGTCATTGATTCTCACATTTTAGTGTACCTCAGAATCAACTGTGGGGCTTGTTAACACAGGGATTGCTGTCTGCCTCCCCCCTACCCCACGCAGTTTTAGATTCAGTGTTTCTGGGGTGGGGCTCAAGAATTTGCATTTCTATCAGTTTCCCAGCTTATGCTGATGCCACTGTTTTGGAACCATGCTTTGAGACCTATGGATCTAGGGTATGTTTTAAAATCAACCTGTAAACTTGAACTTTTAGCTAAATAATCAGAGATATGAGATAATGAGTATAAATTATCTTACATTAACACATGTATTCTTTCTTTCCTTGCATGCACAGAAACAAGACATTCTTAACCAAGTAAGACATTTTCTTTTCTATTAAAGTCTGTCTTTTCTTTCTTTATTCTGATATGATCTATGAATTTCTCATCCATATCACTGAACTATACTTCTGTACCAATACGATTTCTATAGTATATGAGATTGCTTATAATACTCATAGGTTATAATTGAGTTGAATGTGACACATTTTTTTTAATCAGTCAAAGGATTTGATGCCTTAATAGGAGCTGGTACCTTAATAGACAAAAAGGGTCTCAAGTGTGGTCTTCAGTTTTGTAGACTCTGGAATTAATTTTTCTAATTTCGCCAAGATATATCAGGCTGTGCTATTATACTTTATTTAGTAAAAGTCTTAATTTATTAATTTACCATGAGAAATTTTAAAATGCAGTGATAAGGCTTTGTTTTGTTTTGTCTACAGTGCTGTGATAGAATCTGTGGGGGAAACATAACCAAAGAGTTGTTGATTTTTGCCCTCCTGGGAACATTATTCAATCTGTTACTTCAACCACTCTCCTTGAAAATCTGTTTTGTAAATTAAGTTTTAGATCAGTAGTTCAGTTGGGTGCACAGAATTCCAACACATTTTCAGGTGCTCTAAATGGATATTTTTAATCACACTGGAGTAGCTGTATCTATTGTCTTCCCCACTGTAGAAATATTTCCTACCAAAATGCATGAGTTGCCTAAAACTGTAATGTTGTCTCCTTTGGACAATCTTGGATATGTACTAGCTTCTTCTTATTCTTAAATTGTTTGATGGTTTTAATGACAAGAGCCACAGTAATTTCATGTCCAACATGTAAGGTACAATTATAACATCAGATGATACTGGTGGACTTAGATACAGGTCCTACATCTTACAATATCCTATAAAGAGGCACTGGTAACATGGCAACTCATCGACTGTGGCGACATTTACTAGCCTCCGTTTCAGAGGATGACCTTTTCCTGATTTCACCTGTGACTTTTCTGGAAACTTGTTTCCCCAAATATGGACTAAGTAGGCTTGATGACATTTAAGAGGCAATCGCTTGGAGTAAATGATTGTTTTCAAGAACGTCATTCAAGAATTGTCATTCAAGTATGTACGTTTTTAGGACTTGGCTATTAAATGGCTTTTGTTGAGCACCCAACAAACACACCTTTTTGCACAACCTGCATCCTTTCTAGAGGCTGTCTGAAAACTCATGTCAAAATAAGCTCTAGCTTTTTGGGGGGTCAGCAGAATGAATTTTTTCCTTCCTTTTCCTTGCCCAGTCTTTGTTTCATGTGCAATGACTTAGCAGGCAAGCAATTGCAGTTACAGAATAGAAAGAACTGACAAAACTGAGGGTATTCGAGGGGAGAAGAATGAAAGCCTGCACATGTTACTGCTCTATGTGTGCCCTTTGTTTATCAGTGTTCTCTGAGCGTAGGATTTTCTCCGTACATGTTTCCTGTCAGTAGATGTTCCTTGGCCTGAGGCTGAGTTATGCTTTCATAACTCCACAGGGGCTTTCTTTATTTTTGCACTTGGTACTCTGTAATGTAGTTTCTCTTAATGTGTATACCCTTTACATTCAGACAATATGCTTTTACCCCTTAATAAGGAACCTGGGGATTCAAAACCTACCTTTTGTAGTGCTGCTGCCTAAAGCAATATTTTAAATGTCCTTAACAAGGATAATGACAATGATATAATTATTAACAATGATATAAAAACCTTTTCACTGTAAGCTATAATTATCCTTCTAGAACCAAATTCAACCCTTTCCATTATGGAAAGCATAAGGAAAGTGTAACAGAGAAAATATGGTCTGAGGAGTCTGACTGACCTGAATTCATCTTAACGGGCCTTGGACAAGTTTTCTATCTGTCGTTTGTTCACCTATAAAATGAAGAGAGCATCAGCCTTATTGGACTGTTAAAAGGGTTAGATTCTAAAGTGTATGTATAATAAATAGCTCTGTGTCTTGCACATAACAGGTATTCCACTAATGTTTAGAGACAGTGGCTGTGGTCATACTTTAATGATCAATGTGATTTCACAGAAAAGTTCTAGAGCACATGCCAAAGATGAGAGTGAGAATATTGGAGATATACCACCAACAAATTCTGTTTCCTTCATTTTCTCAGGACCTCATTTTCTCATTTTAAATTGAGGAACTCTAACTCTGCTGTCTTCTGCACTCAAAAATAATTTCCTTCCACCATGTGGTAGGAGTGGGGATCATGCCATGTAATTTGCTTCCCCTCCCAAACCTGGCCACAATCCAGAGTGCTGTCCTGGTAGCAGAGCTATTATCTCTTGTATTGCTCCACTTCCTACAACTACATGGTGCTAGGACACTTAGTTAGCAAGGAACAGAAGAAGCATGTTAACCAATATTTCTGCTTCTCTTCCCTATTACCATCAATACAGTTTCAGTGATGTTCCTCTTCTTATCAAATCTATCTATAATTATAAAATACAATTATATCAATTGTGACCAATTGCTTTCTTTACAAAGAAGTTTGAAATCAAGCATAAATACATTTGGGAAATAAACAAATAACTCTCCTTAGTTTAATAATAAATGCCAACTTTGAAAAGGGGTATTTAAATTCACATTGTAGAATGTTCTTTCACTTCTTTAATAACGTTTATTAAACAATTGGTATAGAATTTAAAAATTAATGTTGGGGTTTCTAGGTGATCTTTTTGTACTTTTCCAAATATAAGTTAAAAAGTTAAAACCAACATTACTCTGTCACATCTAAATTTTATTTTTAGGGTTTATCTGTTGTTTTTACTTGTGCTTTTTCATCATTAGAAATAACTTTTTTGGCCAGCTATGGTGGCTTACACCTGTAGTCCCAGCACTTTGCGAGGCCAACACGGGCCGATCACTTGGGAGTCAGGAGTTTGAGACCACCCTGCCAGCCTGGCCAACATGGTGAAACACTGTCTCAACTAAAAATGCAAATATTAGCTGGGTGAGGGGGCAGGCGCCTGTAGTCTTAGATACTTTGGGAATCTGAGGCAGAAGAATCACTTGAACCCAGAAGGTGGAGGTTGCAGTGAGCCGAGATCGTGCCATTGCACTCCAACCTGGGCAACAGAGTGAAACTCCATCTCAGTAAAAAAAAAAAAAAAAAAGCTTTTTCAAGCAAAAGAGCATTGCAAGGTACTAAAGGAATATAAATCTAGACATTTTGGTAAAAATGCTTAGAATGTCTATAAAGTTTAATTTTTAAAGGTGAAAGAAATCATAAATCATATTTTTAGGTGAACAAGTTAAATTTTCCATTTAGAAAAATACCTCCAGTAGCAATGTGGACCATGGACTTGGGTAGAAGAGAAGACTAGATATGAGTTACAGAGGCAGTCCAATCAAGTAAGAACATTAGATGACAATGGGTATCACAATGGGGATGGGGGGTAGGCAGATTTGAATACATTTCAGATATATGACCCAAAGTAATAGGTTATACTTTGAACACCAAAGGGTACAAAAACAGTTACAGTCAACACAGGGTTTTCAAGAGTGGGAAATTGAATAATCATACCATTACTTTTAATTGTTACACCTTATTTGTGTATATCTTTTTTTTGTCTGAAATGGCAGACCAATTTGACACAGCAGAAAATGCATCTAATACTGATAAACCAGTGGGAAATTACCTTGTACCATGTGTTATTATTGCAAAATCTGTTTAGAAAATTATACTTTAAGTATAACGTAATGCACATTGAAGTTAGAAATATTTATGTCTTCAGTGTCAATTAGAAGCTTTTGGTGTTGGGCAATTTAAGGAAATTTTCTGAGCCTCAGTTTCTTTGTCCATAGGTATTGTGATGATTAAATGATAACACACATATAACATACTTAGTGCAGTTCCTAAAACACAGAAACATGTGGATAGTGTTACATAATGAGGACCTATAATGTAAAAGACTGTGTGATGCAAAATCGTGTTGGATCATATAGCCCTTCAGGAATGAGAAGTTGTTAATTGTCTTTCTACTGAGTCTTCATAATTGTAGTCTTAGGTAAAGCTACAGTTAGTGGAATATGTGCCTCTGAAGTGCTAAAATAGTTTTCATTTGCCAAAACTAATTTAAAAATTAAAATTCAAGGTTTTCACACTTTGCACTCTTTCTCTTCAAAGGAACTATCTATATGACAGATTTAGGGGACTATCAAGGAACTGAAATTTGAAATAATGAATAGTCAATTGCAGTGCAAGATAAGCATAAGAAATGCAATATTTAAAATATAAATTTTTCTAAATGAATTTTAATATAAAAAATTATATTTTGAAATCTCAGTAAGATAGCCATGCTGCATATTTAATCAATATACTTTCACTCAGTGACCTTCATATCAATTTTTAAAATTTAATATAATTAGTTAATGATATAAATTAGAATGCAAAATAGAAATGGAAACTGTAAAAAAAAAACTGATTAATTTAAATTATTATCTATTTAATTTCATCAGAGTTCTTTGCTCAGTAAGTGCATAGTATTTTACACATATAGGTACTCAGTTAACATTTGTTGATAGATAAAGTGATTTCTTTGTGGTTTCAAACAGTTACTTTAACTATAATAGTTGAATGATTCATTTTTGTGTTTTAGGGATCATTTATTAATTTGTGGTGAATACAAGTTAGAAAAACATAAAAACTGCCCATAGGCTATCTTTTGTCTGATACTAATAAGTGTTATTATGATCACATGGTTCTGTTAAAATATGAGTCAGATCATGGAATTTCCTACTAAAAACTTACTCCACGTTAAAGCTATAACTCTCTTTTGATGATCTAATATCCTGTGTGCTCTGCCCGGTCCACACATCACCACAGCTTGAGTCTTTGACCTTGTATTCTATTACTCTAGTCCTCCCTCACTCCTGCTCCAGTTTCCTGCTCCTCCTTACTGGCTCCAGTGGAAATTTCTCTGGAACAGGAGCATCCTTATAACTCAGGGCCATTGTACTAGCTGTCTTCTCTGCCTGAAATGTGCTTTTTCCAAATATGTGCAAATAT